ATGTCCAGCTTCGACTGGCACAGAGAAAACGTAGCTGCTCGGCTTCCCCACCTCCCTCTGTTTATTGTGTTGGTTGTTTTTTCAAGGAGCAATGAATTCTGCCACCACATCCCCATCCCTCCCCATGCAGGACTGGAACAGCCGCCCACCCGAGGCAGCTCCAGGGTGGAGGATGGGCTGCCGAGTGGCTCGGCTGTTGCTATAACAACAGTGCCTCTGTCTCCTTCCTTTTGAAAAATGAATTGCTGCTGGTGAGATGAAGCGGAGCAGCCTCTCCTCGCAGATGAAAGCCCTGCCGACAGCCTCCACACTCTCTTGTTTTATCTATTGGCTCTGTCACGGCATGTCCTGAGAGCTCTGCTGAGGATTTCGGGATGGGTTGGATGAGATCGTTCGGGTCGGGGTGTGTTTGCGTGCACAGACTCTGTCCCCCTGCCTCTCCTCCAATTGAAAGTCATTTAAAAAGTCAACCTGCCAAAATTTGACCTTTTCTCACTCTGCAAGTGGAGTTTTTCCAAAGGCATATAAAGAATCGAGAGTCCTGCTTCACCCTCCTGTTCTTTGGGGTAGAAAACTGCAGTGAAATGAAGATTCATCAGCAAATACTTCGTGTGAATAAAGCTAAAGGCTTATGAAGCTGGAAGGGGGTTCTTTTATTTCAGTATTTTCCTTTGATTTTGATATTTTCGTTTTATTTTTATTTTATGTGTCAGCAATCTTCTGCTCCTAGACATAAATCTCTCAGCTCCTGCTAATATCTTCACAATGCGTGATGTAAAACATGCACAAACTGTGTATTTGTACTAAGAAGGAGAGGGAGGATACTTTAAAAGATGCTATTTTACTTCAGAGATTGTGTTTATAGAGGGAAGGTCTGAGGTTTTAGTTTAAGACACTAAATTTAATCTAAGATACTAAAGGCACTAATCCTGGTGGTGGTAAACTGCTTGCCAGTATATTCTCAGTGTTGGATATCCAAACCATTCAAGAGTTAATATGGTGATTGGGAATGAAATCAAGATATGAAAAGGAAAGTTTTCATTTAAATCATTTGATAAGAATATTTCTGTGTTGTACCTCAAAGAAAGGAGATGCATCTATTGTTATGGCTCCCAACTCCCCCAAAATGCTGAAGTCAAGGGGTTTCCCCACCTGCCAAGGCTGTACCCAGCATGTCGCCTTCAAACAATCCTTTTGTGTTACATTTCTGTCTACCTACAGTTTTTCAACGAGCAAACAAAGAAAAGAAAAATATCAGTGCCTGTTAACCCCCCAAATCCTAAAGTCTCTGAAGGAGAACTGTGTGGAGGTATAAACTTTGAATAGGTTTAATTTAATTTCTTTTTGCAACAAGGCACAACTTCTATATTTTCATATTTGATAGAAAATAGTTTCCATGTCGAGCTTCTTTTTGTTGTAATGCATCATAAACATGATCATGAATATTTATATACTGGGCCTACTTTTACTTTCTCTAAAGTCACTGTATATTTGTACAGGGGCAAATCCAAGTTCCAGCACATGATGAAACTTTAGGAACTGATGTTTTTACAGTTGGTTATTTGACATTAGATAATTTTGATTCTTTTGGTAAACATTCATATACAAATAAGGTGATAGATTCAGGGTAAAATAGTACTATTTTCAAACCTGAAAGTGTATCACTTTTAGCAATATTTTTGTATTCGTTCAAACTTGCAAAACATATGGAGTCAGTTCACTTGTATTCCTCAGGAGATAATCACTCTCACTACTCCCTGCCTTGTCGTCAAGACATACTTTTTTCCCATCTTTTCCTTGTAGGAACTTTACTTCATGATGAGAAGCTTGCCACCAGGCCCTGTTCTTATTTTAGCCCAGCATTTGGTCAATATGAACTTGGGGTAAAGGGCCATGACACATTTTGAACATTTCTTCAAACTCTAGTTTTGCCTGTGCATGCCCACTGAGCTTGGTCTTGAGTCACTTGCTGTTTGGGGAATGTTTTTGTGATGTGGCAATAGTGACTTTGTATTGAGATGGCTTATGAGTTGAAATTAATGATTTCAGGTGTAAATTGTGTGAGTGGCCCATCAGGAGCAATATTTAAATATGCTATTTTAACCCATTATATCAACTGACCACTTGCACTTGAGGCCAGGTTGTGCCCTTTCTTTTCTTGCCCTGGAGCTGTGCTGTTGTATTTGTACCATTACCACATCTGTACCATCCTATCCTGTCTCCAGGGCTTTGTAAAGATCAGTGGAACCAACTCAGCTGTAGGATTCTGCAGCATGGCAGATACACGACTCACAAAAGCAGCAGGGAGCTGTAATGCCACACAAGGGTGTTGAGCGTAACACGGGTTTTTAGGAGAGGGAGGCAGCAGAGGTGAGAGCCATACCGTAAGTCCCCTTGTGAGATCTGATTTTGATCCTTCCCACTAGTCCTGGACTTCCTTTCCACGTGGCTGCTCAGTGGCACAGATTGAGGGAATTACCACCTCTGGGCAAGCAGCTCTTGCTAGCAGAGCTCTGCTGCTGTGGCACAGAGAGATGAGAAGGTGATGCTCTGCTGCAGGGCTCTGTGCTCTGCAGCCTGTGATTGCTAAACCTGACTATGCCAGGCTTTAATCTAGAGGCAGTGGCACAGTGTGCATTCCCACCTGCATCTGTGGAGCAGATGGGACGAGAGTTGGTGCATTTGGGAGAGGAGTGGGAATGCAGTGGCAGGGAATTGATAGGGAGGCCCAAAACATGCTCACAGCCTTTTTGACCCCCACATCGCTGCAGGCTAGTGCCCCATCACAGCCTGCAACACAGGGAGAGGAACTTCTTGATGCAAACCGCTGGCTGTGCTGTTCCCTCATCTCCAGAAACTGGGCAGGGGAGAGACTCAGGGTTTGGACAGCTGCTACAGAGCTGCATGGGCATAAATTCACAGAATGCTCCAGGTTGGAAGGGATCTCAAAAATCATCCAATTTCAACCACTTTGCTATGGGCAGGTGCTCAAACCAGGTTGCTCAGAGCCTCATCCAGCATAGCCTTGAACACTTTCAGGGATGGGATATCCACAGGTTCTCTAGGCAACCTGTGCCAGTGCCTCATCATCCTCACAGGGAAGAATTTCTTCCTAATATCTAATCTGAGCCCACCCTCTGTCAGTTTGAAGCCTTTACCCCTTGTGCTATCACCTGTAGAAAGTCCTTCTCCAACTGTCTTGTAGTTCCTCTGAGTACTGGAAGGTGCCATAAAGGTCTGCCCAAAACTTTCTCATCTCCAAGATGAACATCCCCAACTCTCTGAATTCAGGGTTTTAAGATCAGACAGCAGAGGAGGAGACCAGCCATGTGGCAGAGGTTACAGAGTAGCTGGTCTATATGGCACCACAGAACCCACGAGGTGGAGGAATTCCTGCCTGTGGGAGGCTTGGCACACACTGGCTTTGTGCAAGGTGGAACAGGCAGCAAAGTCTCGGTCACTTATGCCAACAGTGACCCACTGGGGACTCTTATTCACGTGTTAATTATTTTCCCACTTTAAAAAGCTCCGGTGCAAATCAAGGAATTGATGGTCTGCTTAGACTCATAGCCTTGCCTTCCTGCTCCTGCAGAAGGGCATCCTCACAGGAGCTTGGTGTCCCATGCATGCTGAGCTGTGGCTGCAGTAGTGCCTGTGCTGGCCACATCCCTCTGCACTGTGTGCTGAAAGAGGCCAGGCTGGCCTGAGGGGCAGGAGAAGGACACAGCCTTCCCAGAACCACTCCCTCCAAAAACCTGGGCAAGATATGGATTTGCTTGCCCGTCTTACACATGGGATGAAAGGGGAACCAGCCCTCTGGGATGGGAGAAATAAATGGCATCTGGATTGTGAAAAGAAAGAAGGTTGAGGACCTCTAGGTTAGGGAAGGGGTGGGAGCTGCATATCTGGGACTTTCCTAGCAGTAAGAATACTTTAAAAACTGATAAAATCTTTCAGTATTTTGTCTTCTATTGTTCTAGTATCAAGGATGCAAGTGTGTCCTGAAGGCGTTTGCTAGAGCTGTGACCTCTTTGCTTCCTCCCCTCCCCACTATTGTTTTTTGCCTTAGCTGAAGAGAGATGCTTTTTTTAGCCTCGTACATAAGTAAAGGACTCAGCTTGGGTGTGAGTGGGGAGAACTGTTGCTTGCTACAGTTCTTTGCTATGCTCCTATAACTTAACTTAAAGCTGATGTTAATACACTATTGTTTCACAAAATTCTTAAATTCCAATTTATTTGCTTTTCTGTAGGCTTGTCTTGCTATTCTTTTTTAGCTATTTATGTTTTATGTTAGCTCCTAGCACATAGCTGATTTCTTTTTTTCATTATTTGATTGATTTAATGTTATGCAAAGCGCCTTCTATTTTCTAGGGTGGATATATTTTTTTTCTCCCTTAAAAGTGATTCTCAATATGTTAGCCAAGAACATAATCAAATGAAACTATGTTAAATTTTTTTTTTTTTTTTTTTTGGTCAACAACACATTTCAGTATAAGTAGTCAATCAATTATATTGCAGTTATTTTTTAGGAAGCTTCTAGAAACTTCCAATAAAAAAAAATTCAGAGTGAGTAGTAAATTTTAGTGATTCCTTTTTTCTTTTTTTTATTTTGTTCCAGTTTAAGACTCCTCACTGTGTTAAGCACACTGTTTAAATCTCATCCCTGTATTAAGGCACTAAAATGTCGAATTACTTAACTTGCTCCCTAAATTTCTTGGAAGTTAGCACAGACTCGGCTTGGAATCCACGTATTTTACTGTTCTGCTTTCCTAGTCAAGGGAAGGTCTGGTTTGGGATAGAAGGAGGTATTTGGTTGTTTGGGGGTTTGACTGTGTTGTCAAATTGATCAAGGCACAAGAATGAAATCAGAGAAAGTTCCTAATCAGTTTAAAAACTTATTGTCACTGGCTTGATGAGGAGTATCTTGTCACAGTGCCCATGAGCACTTCTTTTGCATCTGCCAATGGTTAATTCTTTTCTTTCCTCTTGTTTTCTTTAAGCTTCAAGAGACAGTCAAAAGGAAGTTGGAAGGCGCACGTTCACCTCTCAATGGAGAACAGCAGAACGGAGTTTGTGATGGGAAATTTTCTCCAACCAGTAAGCGGACACGAAAGGATGTGCCAGGCATTGAGGCCATCAACAACTTACCCCTTAATTTGCCTTTGCCTGCTGTTTCTCCTCTTCACCAGCTTGACATGAAAGCTCCCCTGCCCCTGCAGAACAGTGGAACTCACAGGAGTGGTCTAGAAGACTTGGGTGAAAATGGTGGGCTTTCTGAGATAAAGCTCCCTGTTAATGGCTGCAATGATCTGGATGATAGTTTTAACATCCTGCAGAGCAAGGAACTAAAGCAAGAGCCTCTGGATGACTCCAACTGCATAGACACTTCTGAAACATCTCTTTCGAATCAGAACAAGCTCTTCTCAGACATTAACCTAAATGATCAGGAGTGGCAGGAGCTCATAGATGAGCTGGCAAACACCGTCCCAGAGGATGATATACAGGATTTGTTCAATGAAGACTTTGAAGAGAAGAAGGAGCCCGAATTCCCCAGACCTAGCACAGAGACGCAGGAGAGCGCGAGCGTAAAAAGCGATCCATCCCATTCCCCGTTTGCTCATGTCCCATTAGGGTCTCCCCAGGTCAGACCATCTTCCTCTGGTCCTCCATTCTCCAACATCTCCACAGGCTCCAGCATTGCTTCGGCATCCAGCGCCCCGCCGGCCCCAGTCCCCGCTGGATCACCGGCCAACTGCGTTGTGCAGTCCCCTCAGACCCCCAGCCAGGCTCACACTCCTGGACAGACGCAGGCACGCTCTGGGAATGGCTTCCTGATGAACCCGGCAGGATCGGGGCCCGGGCCAGTGACCCTGCCCAGTGCTGACCTGTCCCCAGCTGAGCAGCTCAAGCAGATGGCAGCCCAGCAGCAGCAGAGAGCCAAGCTCATGCAGCAGAAGCAGCAGCAGCAGCATCCAAATCAGCCCTCAAGCTGGTCACCGGTGGGGCCTCCATCCAGTCCCTACGGGGGACCCTTCAGTGCAGACAAACCAAATAGTCCAATGATGTATTCTCAAGCCTTTAACAACCAAAACCCAATAGTGCCTCCCATGGCAAACAATCCCCAGAAGACCGCAATTAATAACTACCTCCCTCAAAACCACATGAACATGATCAGTCAGCAGCCAAATAACTTGGTCACAAACTCCTTGAGCAAACAGCCCAATATGCTCTCTTATGGCAACACCAAACCTCTGACCCATTTCAATACTGAGCTGAGTCAGAGGATGACCCCACCAATGGCAAATCCCGGGAAGAACACCATGATGCCCTACATCCAGCAGCAGCAGCAGCAGTCCCAGCAGGCGCAGATGCCAGCTCAGATGGCACACCTGAGCGAGGAGCAGAAACGCATGCTCCTCATGAAGCAGAAAGGAATGATAAATCAGCCCATGGCATATGCAACACTCCCTGCCCTTGGTCAGGTAAGTGTGAGTGCACAACGTGTGGGCAACAAGAGGCCAATACAAATGCTTAGTACCTTTTTGTCCAGTCTCCTCCACTCACCTCCTCTTTCTCCTGGAAAGTATGGAATGTCATTGCAGATGCTTCTTGGATTTTTCACGTGGTGTTGGAGCCTGATTATTTTAAGAAACAACTGAATTTTTGTCGCATTGTGCTTTAGACCTGTTGTTAATTCACTGCTATTTCCCTGTGCCTCTTCTGATGAATGCTTAGGGCCACTCTGGGAAATTTTGGGTCAGAAGTCACGCTTCCTTGGATGGTCTGTTTCCTTTTTTTTCATAATGCAAGACTTGGTGGTTGTGGATCCCAAACCACTGCATGGCTTAGTTTTCCCACCGTGTAGTTAGCATTGTAACAAAAAGATGGAGCAATTGGTCTCTTCTTCTTCTTAGGGTAGAGAACAAGCCAGCTTTAAACAGCATTTTTGGCATTTTGGCTCTGGGAGCGAAGGAAGAACATTTTGGGTGCTGAGAGCCTTTGGTTTTGACTGGAAAATGTAAGAACAACAGAATGCTTTTAGTGTTGCTTGGACCACGATGATGAGATGAGATGAGATGGTTTATTCTAGGACTTTAAAGCAGTCTTTAGCAACCCCAAGTATTTTGTCTTTCAGCAAGAAGCTAAAGCCATGTTGGCTTCAGAGCTTTGGCATCCCTGTCTCACAAGTATTCCATGCTAAGCTCTGGTGCAGCAGTTGCCAGGCTCGGGGAATACTTTGTAATGAGTTAAAAACCGGTTTGAATAGTGGTTACATCAATGTCCTATCGCCTCCTGGGTCAGCAGGGTGCTCTTAGTTGTGCAGCCCCTGTAAAGATCTGCCCACTGTTGTCATGGCAAGGTTCAAGAACAAATTTTCTAAATGTTGTTTTGAGAGTTTAAAATGGATTAAAGTTAATAATCAATTCCCAAAGTAGGTGATGCCTTCACAGAAGTTATGTGCCACCAAAACATGTCAAGAAGTCTGATATATACTAATAGTGTATAATACACTAATAGAATTGTTGGTTGATCATTTTAGCATAACAGCTTTTCACCAGATTAGCTGTTTCCACACCACCTACAAGGAATACTTCATTCTGAGCATGGTTTAACTGTGACTCACACTGTAATGCATGTAGAAATACAGCAAATTTTGTCATTCCTTCAGCTTATGGAGTTTGGGGATCAACCAATAATGAGAAGTAGGACCTTTACCAGGTCAGAGCACATCACATATTACTTAAAATTAATTGCAAAACAAAAAGAAATGTTCATCTGCCTCCTGGTTTTGGTTCAGGATGTATGGTGACAGCTCAAAGGTTTGTACTTTTATATTAATTCTGCTTGCCTATTTTATTAGATATAGGGGATCTAAAGCCTCTCCTTTTTGTGAAGGCTTACCTAGAGAAATTCTGCAATAGTGACATGGAACTAAGACTAATTGTAGCTACAGATTTGTCAGTTTGTTACTGAGAGGCAGAGGATGCTTGGTCATGCTGCCTAATGCTTTACTGTTTTTCTTTTGTTTTTGTTAAATCTGTTGAACTCAAAGACCCATCAAACAGCTGAGAGGATGAACTGCCTGTGTGAAAGAGTTAATGCCATCTCCTCTATTTCATAAGTTGAGAAATTCATGTTAATATCTCTCTGCAGTTCTACAGTGTGGATGAGTAGCCAAGGTTTCATATATCTAATCTCACTCAGTTCCTCTTTTTTTTTTTTTTTTTTTTTTTACTGTAGGAAAAACTAGATATTTGGACAGAACTAGACATTCTTCCATAAACAAGTCCAGATATTAAGTGATTTCTGTGACACACAAATAGGATACTTAAGGCAGAGCCATACTTTGTTATATATTACGTGCAGTTCACATTTATTGATCCATCCGGGATGAGGGACTTCTTGCTTTTGTGTAGACATCAAAAGGTCCCTTTACTACTTGTTGACCCCACTTGCCTACACTGAAGGGATTTATTTTGGTGAGAAAGGTTGAAATAATAAATTTCTAACTGTAATGTATTTCTTCCTTCTTTCTCTCCTGCTTCCCTGAAAAGCATTTTCCTGTGGAAAATGAGAAAGCTTACTATTGTGAAATGTGCTTGATGGAACTTATTGTTTTTGCAAAAGTGGCAAAAATGTTGATATTGTTAAGTTAAACACAGACTGATGCAGATTATCTGATTTTGACTTACTACCTGCTGATAGTCACAGATGAAAAATAAGAATATTGCACTCTGTATTTCAAACATTTCTGAACGTAAACTGAATGTATCTTTCTAACAGTTTATAGTTTCTACTTTCATTGCAGTTTTGGGGTTTGATAGAGATTTGTAAAAGTGTCTATTTGTGTTAAATAATCACAATGATTTAGCAAATATTTAAGAAGAATCTACCTATTGCATCTAATTGTTAGCAGTGACCATATACTTCTGTCAAGTTACTCTTGCAAGGGCATATTTGAGAACCAAAAGCTGATTTAGAGATCATCTGACACGTACCATAAGTGCCTTGTCTTACTTTTTGTGTACTGCTGTAAAATTTAGATATAGCATAGCTTTGTGCATGTGTATGGACACTAATTAAAACCCATTTGTGCCTGAGGTACTTCTATTGTAAGAAGTAGCATTCTTATATGAACTCATTGCTATAGTTGGTGAGTGTATTTTAGTGAGACACAGCATTTTTTTCAGTCCAGCTGGGGCCTTGCAAATGCTTTGTGGAGGTCAGCTGTCCATGACTGTCCTATTTATGTGTCAGTGCTCTGGGCTTGTGTCCTGGGCATGCTGAGCATCACTTCCTACTCTTTTAAAGAGAGGAAGCCCCTCTGCTCAATATGTGTGTGAATGGTTGGGCAGGCAGAGTGCTAAATTGGCAGCCTAGCCAGCAGAACTAGTATCCAACAGAAGTAGGATTTCTCTAAAGGATCTCTGCACTGTGGGTATTGGAGACTCTTCCTGTCAGATGTGTTAGTCCTTTGCTTTTCTGTGGAGATCCAGGGCTGGTACTGCCACTGCAGCTGTAGCCCTCAACACACTGTTCCTGAATGACCCATGTGCCCTGAGCTATTAAGTCCTATATCTTATTTTATACCTTGTTTCTCTTCACAGGAGCACGGGTTGGGGTGTTTTTACACAAAGCAGATACTGGTTTGGATTTTTGAGTCAGGGATTTTTTCCAGAGGTGGCCTGAAGGTAATTTTGATGGGATTTTTTTCTGGAACTGAGTGTTAAAACCATAGGCAGATCCTGACCAATCTATATCCAGCAAAACTCATGGTGGATCCTGACTCATCTACCTTATCAAGGTAGACTCTGTCCTACTAATGTTACTTCATACCTGACTGTTCTCACTGGGTCAGACTGGTACTCAGAATTCCCTCCATGTACCCTGAACTGCCCTAAACCCAGTTGTTAGTTTGTGACTATGTGGCAGGTGTTGCTCTTTTTTGCTCTTGCTTTTTCTGAGTGGTTCTTCCATTCTTGTTTAGCTGCAGCTCAGGCTAATCCATCAAGTAGATTTTCACAGGGCTGCTAACTTGTTTGGTATTTGAGGGGTAGGGGTCCTCTTCTCTTCTGGTTCTCATGTCATAATAAAATCAGTTCCACACCAAGATGCAACAGTTGCTTTGTTCAGGCTTTTTATACAATTTTAGAAATAAAAGGAAGTCTGAACCCGCCTCCTTCTCAAAAATTACACTGTTGTTTAAGCTATAATGTTCCATTAAGTTTTTGAGATCTGTGCGAGGTTTTATGGGAGTCACTTCTTTTTCTCTTTTTCCTCAAACCAAAAAGTAATTTTAAACTGAGGAAAAGTAAAAACGTTTTCTTTGGGAAATTTAGGAATAAATAATTGTGCTTTTTCTTGATTCCAGCTGTTCAATATGAATGCACAATGGTAAGAGAAAAAAGCAGCCCAAAGGAATTAAAGTTGAATGACTGAGGCAAAATTTGATGTTTGGAACCAAGTGTGTGAGGGAAAGTAATGAGAAAAAACAAAACAGAATTCTCTGTGGGTGTAAGAAAAGTAAAGCTATACTGAAGCTATTTGCCTGCATGGGACTGTGAAAATGCTGCAATTATTTCCTAACAAAACCACTAGTTACATTGTTTAAAATTTTAGGAGAGAAATTACACCATCCTGCAAGCATATCTTCATATCTAATTATCTGTTCTTTGTTTTAATCTTATGCATTCAAGATGCATCATCTGCTCAGTCTGGTTTTGCATGCCAAAGATAGAGGGGGACCTGTGTCCTGAGAACATTTCCAAAACATAATCATCATTGTCCTTTAGAAGTGAAAGGATGTGCTTCTCTCTGAAATTGTAAAAGAGGTTTTACACTTTTTTGAAGGCTATCTTTGAGACAGTGAGAAAAAGAGATTGTTGCTGTTCTGGATTTTGGCCTTTTTTAAAAGCCTATCTGGAAGTAAAGAAGAAATATTTGTATTCACTGCACGAAAGTATGACAGAGAAACAACTGTCTTGGCAGATTTTAGGGGAGACAGGCTGAAATGGAAATAATGAAGGAGACAGTGAGGATCACTTGCTGAGCAGCCTATAGAGCTATAGTGAATGTTTTGCTATGTTTGACTTTAGACACTGCTTTCCACAAAACTTTGACTTGGAGTTTAGATGCTGTACCTGCCTTTTTCAAAGCCCAGAGACAGAAAATCAGTCTCTGGCAGATTTTATGGACAAATGCATTAACAAAACGTGCTTGGATGGATTCTGACCATCTTAGCTGTGAACACAGCCTAGCCTTCTTACCATGCCTCCTGTCATCTGCCCATTGTGTTGTAAACGAGGCCATGTTAGCATAAATCACTAGAAATAAACACTGGATAGCATTTGGCTAAGATCTCCATGGCATAACCCTAAAAGCCAATTTTGTTGGTGTTTCCTCGTTTTGTGACTTGTAGGTGTGTACTTATTAATGTAATACAAACTTTGTTCATTTCATTTGGCAGTGTTTTTTCTTCATT